AAAGTTTATCCACAAACGCAGCACTTTGTGTTTCAACCCAGACAAAAATCTAAAGACTTCTAAAGATTTAAATGGGAGTCTGGCTGCTGGTTGCAGTTTGAAAAACCGAATCAGGACTCAAAAATTTTGYGAAATATTGTGTGTCAAATAAGTAGACTAATATTAGCAAATGCCTGTATACAATACAATACGACATCCTCATCACATGATTTATTTTTAAAGTTTATCCACAAACGCAGCACTTTGTGTTTCAAACTTTATAAAAAAAAGGAACAGACTGATTTTTCAAATAGTTGGCAGATTTAATGTAATTCAACACCAATAAAATATTATTAATAGTGTAATTAGTACACCAAAGACTCAGACTACATGATTGCTACCTAAAACTGGCTGTTGTAAACAAACAATGCCAACAGCAAGGAAACAGAGTAAAAAAAAATCTAATTCATAACGGAAAAATACATTTAATTCTTGTTTGAGTTATTTTAAAGAGTGAGGGAAACAAGCAGCTCTAAACCTCTTGCACTGCAGCTGTCAGTGTTTGAGTGGGTTCGGTTACAAGTCCCAGCCCACTGCCACCACCACCTGGTTTGATCTCTGCTCCTGATTGGCTGAGCTAATAGCTTGCTTTTTAAGATTTCTAAAATACAAATGAAAATGAAATAAATAAACTAAAACCAGTGTTGTATAAAGTACCACAAAGTGATACTTGAGTAAACGTACAAGTATCTTACCAAAAAATTACTTTGGTAAAAGTTAAAGTCTCCTTTACATGAGTAAAAGTCTTAAAGTATCTGATATTTTTTGTACTTAGGTATTAAAAGTAAAAGTATTAATTTAAAATGAGCAGTTAGATTTTCTGTAATGACATTTATTAGGAGGTGACCTCCCCCAAAAAATGCAGAAATGACTGTTGTATTAAAATAATTAATTTATGTTAAATTTAGGGTGCACTAGTCTAGCTGGTTCACTTTATATCAAGGGTGCCTAAACCTTTTCTCCTAAATGAAAATCTATCTGAGGGCTGTTGGCCAAATGCAATAATATAATTCATGAATAAAAATACCTCCTCTACTTTTAAATACATTATCGGAATTTTATATATTTATACTTCTCATTCAACCACAATTAAATTCACTCCATCTAGGAGGCCCAATTTATATGGATAGTATTTATTTTTTACAATAACAAGCTGGAATGAAAACAAGCAAAAATGAAATAAAAGTAACGACTTTCTACTTCTTGTCTTTTTAAATATGTAAGGAGTAGAAAGTACAGATATTTGTATGAAAATGTAAGGAGTAGAAGTAAAAAGTAGGCTGAAAAATAATTACTCAAGTAAAGTACAGATACCCCAAAATTCTACTTAAGTACAGTAAAGAAGTATTTGTCCATGGTTACTTTACAACTCTGACTAAAACAGTTTGAAAGCTTGATATATTTAATGTCTTTACATAACACTCATATAATATTTTTAATGCTTCAGTCAAAATTTAGACAGAGCTAACAGAAAGCATAACGTCCGGATGCATCTCAGTAAACCAGGTAAAAAATCCAAAAGAAAAAATTGTATAGGTCCTCTGGATGGGTTCTTCTCTAATGAAACGTTTCAT